TTTTTTTCTATTAAAAAAACATCTAATTTTAATGACATTGACTATTACTTTAGAATTTAGAATCATTTAGAATATGTTGACTTAAAATTTGAAATATCTGATTCCGACGTATCTGCACAGTGCACATTTTAATTGTTTTCGTGCAAATTTAAAAGATATTCAATTTTAAAATCAACCATTTTTTAAAAACAAAAACAAAGTATGTAAACTCTTGTTCTCGGCCTACTTTCTACCTGTAAACTCTATTTCTCCTACTTTCTACCTGTAAACTCTAGTTCTCCTACTTTCTACCTGTAAACTCTAGTTCTCCTACTTTCTATCTGTAAACACTAGTTCTCATACTTTCTGTCTGTAAACTCTAGTTCTCCTACTTTCTGTCTGTAAACACTAGTTCTCCTACTTTCTATCTGTAAACTCTAGTTCTCCTACTTTCTGTCTGTAAACACTAGTTCTCCTACTTTCTGTCTGTAAACACTAGTTCTCCTACTTTCTATCTGTAAACTCTAGTTCTCCTACTTTCTATCTGTAAAATCTAGTTCTCTTCTATACTTTCTGTATATGTAAACACTAGTTCTCATACTTTATCATTTTTCAAAACCTCCCTAGTCCCTATTCAACCGAACCATTAAAGTTAGCTGGCCTTATACAAATTGGGCTATAAACAATAAACATGTTTCGCAACTTCATATCTTTACTCTAAGACTTTTCCGGCCATGCAGTACTTCTTTGCGTATATTTAGATCCTGCAGCCTTCTTTATATAGGGCTAAGATTAAAATATCAAAAGATTACAACATCATATACAGGTTAAAGATAAGGATTAATACGATCATTTGTGGTTTTATATATTAAATTGTCCAAATCTTGTAAGTAAGTTGAAAGTGTAAGACTGAAACTATTGTATATAGGGATGGGCAAAAGCCAGATTTGTTTCACAGAATTTTTTTTTATGTTTTTAGACTTTTAATAGGTTTTATAACTTATAAGACGATATGAGGAGGTTCAACAATTCAAAACTTTTTATTCTGTAAAAATTTGCTTTTATCAAACATGAAAATTTGTTACCCTACAGTGAAACCCTTAATAACGAATACATTCGAAAGAATTCATCACATGTCATATCTTCACTTTCTGATAATGGAATGTTGCAGATATTTAGTTTTTTAATTAAATGATTATATGGAGTCCTTTACAACTGTTCCCGCATATTCATGGCTATTTATTTTTTTCGCAAATACTGAAATTTACGAAATATAGTATAAAACTCATTGAAAAATTGTCAAGACGACATTTGATAAATTCTTCCGATGTATTTGTTATTAAGGGTTTCACTGTAGAAGAAAATATAATGTAAAAACGATCGTTTTACCCTTCTCAGATTGCCGTAAAACATTTTTTAAAATCTAAAAATCGTAAAAGTTTCTGTAAAACGAATCTAGCTATTGCCCATCGATCAGTGTAAAAAATATTATATATATCTATGTGCCAAGGTTACATTAAATATAAAACTATGTCCGTCTGTATCTACAGTTGATCTACGGCAACCTTTTTTAAATCTACATGTCGTCTTTTATAGTAACTTAATACTAATATTTTGTGGTTAACCCTGCAGTAACAGTATAATATATCTATGTCAAGGTTGCTATATATATCAAATATGATGAGGGTATGATTCCGAGATATAGTAGCAGAAAAAGAAAGGCTTCTATGGAATCTGTATTGATTTTATCAGGTGTGCATCACGCATATAAATTATCTTACGATGAACCCCTATACAGCTTTCGTTTTAAATTCTTTAAAGTGGTTGTTAACTATAAAAATACACTATTGTTAACCATAAATACAAATGAGGAAAATAACAAACAGTTAAAAGTTTTGCTAAGTGAAAGATCAAATCTACAAATAACTTTACTTAATTCCACTTAAAAAAACCAGGTTTATATTATTCAGAAGTATTTACAAATGTTTTTAACTATCCCATCCCATCAAACCCTTATCACTCCTTTTACTTCAACAGGAAAACTAGTAAGTTTATACATTAAGCATTGAACTACATTAATTTATTGTCATTTAATTTACTGTACTTGCACCCTATTGCAGGTTTGAAATTTATCTATTTGACAATATTTTGTCTACAGCGTCTTTTATTTTACGGATTTGTTTATTCAATTCATTTTCATTCAAAATGCATATGCCGACAAAAAAAGTATAAAAGGAAAAAGGCTTACAAATTATGTTTAATAGGTCAAATTGTGATCGAAAGTCACAGCTTTCTGGAATATTGACAGAACCTTCAAATCCACGTGAGTTTAGAAGCCTAATCGACTCTACAGTCCATCAACCTATTTATCTACCGACTAACAGTCAATCAAGAACCAACGCCCTCCTAAAGTTTTATAGTTAATATATCTCTTATTTTGGCATTAGGAAAAAAGTTTTCAGTATTTCCCAGGACGATTTGAAGTCGTCATACTAGTTAGGGCGCTTTGCGCCCATCTTCTATTTCAAGTTTTAATTGTGTCTCTATCTTGAGTATCTTCTCCAATTGTTCAATATAAAACAATAACAACAAAAAATTTGCAGTCTTTTAAAATATTTTTTCGCACATTTTCAAAATTTATAAAAATCAAAATCTTCTGGACACAAATTTTTGTAATTTTTAGCATCCGTAAATCTGCCCTGGGGTCATGTGAGGTCCAACACAAAATTGGGGCCCGATTGGTTCATCCCTTTTGACGTTTTTGGATACAAACAGACAGCTTCAAACAATTACAAAGTATATATCAAATATCTATATACTGTATATCGAGAACCCCCACGCCAAGTTCCAGCAGTACTTTGTTGGAGACCCTGGCAACAAAAACCGCGGAAAAAAACATTTATTTACTTCTTTTAATAATAATTTTTCCCGAAATACATATTCATATATTTTTTAATTTAACTATCTGAAGTACTCGGCGTTGCAAAGGGAATTTAAAAAAATGTAAAAAAAATTTCAAAATGTTTTTTTTTGAATTTTTAAGAAAAACAAATGATTTATTTTGCCTCTTTTACCTGGGGGATACCGTGTTCCATAAAAAATGTCAGCCTATTCGGTCAAGCCGTTTGACCAACTATCCACTTGTAAAATATCTTTAAAAATTTCATTTTTTATTTCTTTACTTTGATAAAGTTTTGTACTTTCTGTACTCGGCTGCAAGCTATAAAAACGTGTTCAAATAAAGAATAAAAAATTTGAAAATTTTAGTTTGGGTGAGTGCAATGCAATGCAATGTAGAATGTAGATTGCCTGAGGAAGCAGATGTAATGTAACAATGGGTGATTTTGTTGATCTTTTACGATCAGCGATTCAAGGATCTTTTTAGATCGCTGGGATCATAGCCGGCTAGGGGCATAACCCCCCCCCCCTTTATACCCTTCGGTTGGACTTTTGAATCCTATTTTGAATCCTAACGGATTTATTTGAGTTTGCATGTGAATTCTATAAATAACCCAAGCCAAGCTGAAAGTTCCGTTATTCCAGAGGCACGGGGGCTGGGGGGCTAGCCGGCCAGCTCCCGGGGAACTAGGGTTAAATGAGAGCCCAGGGTGGAGCGAAATGCAGGGAAAAGAGTTAGTTGATCATCAGCTCCCTTAAACTGAGGTTCCCTTGAAGATTCCCCATCACTCTGAAATAACTTCAATTCATAATATTTGATTCGTATAGTATCATCCTTTTAGTTTTTGTATCTTTGTAAATAATAAAACTGTAAGAAAAACCGAGTCGTTGAATATTAGTAATACGAGTGATTGCCTTGATTAAATTTCCTTCATATGTAATAGTAATATTAAAAGAACCCACCCCCCTTCGTACGCCCCTGAAGAACCTAACTGCAACTTATAAAGCTTTATATTCAATTTTCATTTATCTACCTGCAACACATATCTTTAAAGAAAATAAAGAATATATCTCCATTTAAAAAAACATTTTTGGCTGTCACTCATTTGAATACATTACATATTACTTATCACATCTCATAAATGTGTGTTTTTTCTTGCAAACACATGACGGAAAAAAATATGTTCTGTATTATATCTAATAAAGATAAATTCATTTGTAATCTATTATTAAGCAATAATTATTATTATTATGTATTTAATAATATCTGTTACATATCTGGTATGTAAAGAGTCTACAAGTGTTTTCTTGAAGTTTAAAGAAGTTAGTTTACAGGTTTAAGTGATATAAAATACATTTATGTGAATTCAAGGTAATAGCTTTAGGGACAAAGAACATTTAGCAAAAGTGCCAAACAAAATAAACAATTGTTAAAAGCTTATTTTTTAAACCTTTTATCCCTGCAACTTGATGTAGACGTCAAACTGTAAATTCTGTAGACCAATTTCTTTGTGAATTGAACTGTTGATTTCACTTCTTTGCTCCTCTAGTTTTGATTTATCCGGCAACATATTAGAAATTCAAAATATTTTTGTTCTTCTCAATATCTTTATTAAAAGCAAAATTATGATTGAAAACATTAAAGATTTTGTCTACACGTGCAATTTTCTTTAGTTTCAAGTGAGTTCCAAAAACTTCAAGTATTATGTACCCTTTTAAATCGGACATGGCAAAAACCCGTTTAAAAACCAAAAAATCGGGTCTTGTTTTTTTTGGAATGGTGACCGACTATTTTATGAGATATATGCCCATGAGGCATATGCTAATGCTTCTTATGCATTAGCTGTTGCCCGTGTTTATTGAGTCATTTTCATTTTAAAATGCCGTAACTGCCTTTGGTTCAACCTTACAACTCACTTACACTTTTTTGTTGAAAAACTAAGTTTCAGTTTTAATTAGAAGTAATTTACAGAAACCTAATAGATTTGGCACATGTTGATTCCCTGTGAAGTGATATAGTGATGAGTATAAAGTGTATAAAGGGTATAAAGGGCACCTTTGTCAATCTGGCAAGTACATCTTTTAACGAAAGGTTGCTTGAAATTACGTCGAAATTTTTTAGATTTAATCATTGATATCGTTTCTGCAAGTTTAATTAGTCCAAAATCGATTGAGTAAGGATGCATTTGTTTAAGCTGAAGTGTTTTATTTTTAATCATTTGACCCTTCTCCTCTAAAAGAGTTTGAAGACAATTAAAAATATATGCACATTTTTTGTAAATTTGTTTAAAATTTTTTTTTTTATTATTACTTTTATAATTTCACCTCTCCTCTTTTTCAATCTTCCCTTTAATCCTCGTTTAATTTTCTTCCCTTCTATTTTAAATATCCCGCCACCGCCTATTTAAAGGGACTGTAAAGGAAAAATGAATGGGGGTATAGGATAAAGCCTGAGAATCTCAGACGTCAAACGATACATATAAGACATCTATCTGATGCTCCTGTCTCGAGAAATTTATATAAAACTGTGTCAAAATACTAAAATTCATTATATGCAATTTCGTATAAAAGTTGTAGTATTAAATAGATCATATTCAACATATACGAAACCAATCTGAAAACGACGATATCCCACAAAAAGCCTGTTCAGTTGATTACACTGTTCAGTTGAAAACTGAAGAGCCATTGAAAAACAACTTTTCCATAAAAATTAGACCAGAACTGAAATAGCGAATTTTCATACAACAATATTGCGAATGTTCTGTGACTCTGTTATTTACAATATATTTACAAAATTTTAGAATTTGATAGAAGTAAAATATATACAAATTTTTGCATTTCTGAACTTTAGATCCAAAAAATTTTTTTTTAAATATTGAAAAAATAACATATAGGAGGGTTGCACAAAAAAGTACAATTTTGCACCAGACGCCGCTCATTAAAATTTTATTTTACTCACCCTGAATATAAAACAAAACCTTATAAAACACTACTTGATAGTTGACATTTTTTTACCTGATTCTAAATCACCCTAAAATATACTTATGAGGATGCAAATTTCTTTTTGATTGAATAAAAAAATTATTATATATTTATTTATATTTATTTACATACATTTTTTATCCACATCTTTTAAGACCTTTTATCATAGTCATAGTCATACCTTGGATTTATTAATTCATAATAAATTATTAATATTATTCCAATATGAAAATAAATAATGAGATTTTTTATTATCANAGAAGAGAATTTTTTAAAAAACTTGAACTGTTTTCGCGTTCACATAAAAATAACAATTGGACAGAAATTTGATAATACAAATACATATCTTCATTAAAATATAAATGAATTATTCTACATATTTTATTTCTTTATATCAAAAACCAATTACTTAAAAAAAAGTGGGTAAAAACTAGAAATTTAGCAATCAGTGTATAGTAGATTAACAGTAACCACTTTGGCACATTTTTCTCGTGTTCGTATTTCTACATATATAAAAATCTACATTACTTAAGACAAAAGGTTTAAATTGATCATTTACCTTCTCTGGTGGCCAAAGTATCCCAAAAAAATATTTTGATTGAAACCTTTACTCTATTTATAGGAATTGGTTAATAAATATTAATGCACGATATGATTGAAACATTTTAAAAGAAAGTCGAGGCTGGAAGGGTGGAAAGGGGGGATGTTATGTCCTTTTTCCTTAGACGGGGAATTTCCTTTCCTAAATTCTATCCTAGTATTACAAATGATTGGCGTATATCTTGCACAATTATCTTACACAATTATCTTGCACAATTAGCTTGCACAATTATCTTACACAATTATCTTACACAATTATCTTGCACAATTAGCTTGCACAATTATCTTGCACAATTAGCTTGCACAATTAGCTTGCACAATTATCTTGCACAATTATCTTGCAGAATTACCTTGCATAATTACCTTGCACAATTATCTTGCACAATTATCTTGCACAATTATCTTACACAATTATCTTGCACATTTGCACAATTATCTTGCACAATTATCTTGCACCATTATCTTACACAATTATCTTGCACAATTATCCTGCACAACTATCCTGCACAACTATCCTGCACAACCATCTTGCACAACCATCTTGCACAACTTTCTTGCACAATTATCTTTCACAATTATCTTGCATATTAAAGGAACTGTCATGACATGACCAAATACTAATGTCCGATTTACATCGAATTTTAAAAGCTTCTTATGATCACGAATGAAAGAGTTATCCTAACTTTAAAAATAGAATTTTTTCAATTGCAATTTCTATGTCAGGCTTTTTCTTTAATAGACTCATACTTGAAATTACAACGACAATCCCATAAAAACGTTTTAATAAAGAATTACACAGTTAAACGCTGATGAAGGTGAACAAATATAGAGGACGAACCTTGAGGACGCACATTGAGGACGCACATTGAGGACGCACATTGAGAACGCACATTAAAGACGCACATTGAGGACGCACATTAAGGACGCACCTTGAGGACGCACCTTGAGGACTCACCTTGAGGACACACATTGAGGATGCAAATTGAAGACGCACTTTGACAACGCACCATAATTTCATTCTAGTTTTATGAATTAGGATAAATCTGAAATAAAAAAATAGCGATTAAACTGTTCATGTAAATATATTTATCTATATATCTATATATCTATCCATCTATCCCTCTATCTATCTGTCTATCTATCTATCTATCTGGCCGAGGCTGAATTCTCAATGTCAGGAGGACAGGGAAGGAAGAGGGTGAGGTCTACAGACCGAAAGAATGAAAATATGTAGCTCTACACTCTCTACTATACTGTATACAGTACTAAGGAGAAGCTGCAGAGAGCAGGGTAGTGTAGCTTAAAGCAGCTTGTACCAACACCAAGGTAAGCTGTCAACAGTAGCTTTTTTTTTGCATTTTAGCAGCTTTTTCAGCTTATCTTACCTGATGCTAAATCTTATATTGAGTAGAAAATAGTTATTTTAATGCCAGCTGTTAAAAAGCTGCTGACTGAGCTTAGTTAATGTCATTTATTGATATCACTGACAACTATAAGTATCAGAAATGGTGCTGCAGAGTAGTATATTCGTGTCAGCAGTTGATAATATAGACTTCTTTAGACTTCTGTATGTAGTACTTCAGAGTAGGCTATTATTGTCAGCAGCTGATATAGTTAACAGCTATATAAAGTGCTGCAGAGTAGTAAATTAGTGTCAAAAGTTGATTCAATTAACAACTAAAAACATGGCTGTCATAGATTATAACTGTCTCGAGGCATCTGTAACTATTTGTTTATTAATTGGAGCTTTTTGTTTGATTACATTTTAAGAAGCACTTTGCATTGTACTGTGTACATAAATTGAAATATACTTGTATAATGTATATTGCCCAAAGTATTTTACTTTATCTACAACTCTGTCGTGTATATTATCGAATCTTATCTAAGCTAACCAATATTACTTTACATCGCAGGATATCCTAATTGTTGTTTTTAAAATAGATTTTTTTAATGCAATTTTTTAAATTTTTACCGACCTAACTTTTACGGAGGTCAAATTGATCGGTTCAGCCGTTTAAGGTTCATTGTATACAAGCATCTCGACAAACAAAAGCCTATATGCATAAACACTAGCTTGGGAACCCAACATTGACTGAAAACTAAGTTTTTCCTATAAAAGTCTAAAATAATTTTAAAACAAAGCTAAAAACATCATCATGGCTTTCCCAAGATCCTCAATTAAAAGTTGTGGCAAATCGGTAAAGGGGTTCTTAAGTTGTGATCGGACATACAAACAGACAAACAGACAAACAACCAGAGATTAATGCTTTACATATATACTAGATTAGGAAACCCAGCTTTGTATTAAAACAAAGATTTATTTATAGGAGTCAACCTATTCAACTAAGAACCGAACTAAGAAAATTCCCGTGGTTGTATAGACTAGAGTTCCCCAATCAAAATTGGAGGCAAATCGGTCCAGAGGTTTCTAAAGTTGTAATTGGATATACAAAGAACCAGAGATAACTACATTATATATATATAGGTTACAGTAAAAGATAAGATAATGTCCTAATCTATCTTAATATAAAAAGATTGGTTTTGGCAAGAAACCATGAATCTGGTACAATTACTATTTATGGATTAATGCATAATGCCTACCCAGAACCTACTTACATCTCAACCTGCCAATTCAAGAAAATCTTTTCCACACAAATACATATATGCTTGCTTTGTTGGTACCAGCTCATCCGACCTAAAGGAAACCTGACCTTAGAATTTTCCGACGTAAAATGGTATACCTGTCATGTTAGATCAATTTAAGAAAAAATCTGCTCCACACAAATCCATATACTTTTTTTTGCTTTGCTGGTACCAGCTCATCCAACCTAATGGAAACCTGACCTTAGGATTTTCCGACATATGGTATACCTGTCATGTTAAGCCAATTTAAGAAAAACCTGCTCCACACAAATACATATATTTTTGCTTTGTTGGTACCCGCTCATCCGACCTAAAGGAAACGGGCCTAAGTGGTTTCTGACCTTAGGATTTTGCCATCGTAAAATTGAATAAGATCTTAAAATCAGGTCAGAGGTAATGTTAAGAAAGCTAGGTGGCGTTAAACCGGTGTCATGCATGGAGCGGACTCTTGCATGGAGCGGACTCCCCCTAAAGTTTTAACCATTTTAACACAATGTTAGACACAAAAAGAAATGCTCAAACACTTATAATTATTAGTTAACATATATTAAATACGCATTTAGTTCGTAAATGTATTTTAAAGAGGGTAAAGGCAAAAAATGTTATCGAGACATACATCATTTGCAATATGTTTCTCAAATCAAAATACATTAAAAATATCAGAAAATGTCATAGCATTGCTTTTTATGTCTAACATCGTGTTGAAGTGGTTACAACTTAAAGGGGAGTCCGCTTCATTAGTAACATGACTCCTGCATGGGATGCCATTCGATCAGGATTGAAAATTACTACAATACTTTTTTATTTTCATTTTATCTTTAAGTATTTTTTGTGAAAATTGGTAATATATCAAGATTAAAAAAATACAAGCAAAACCCTTTTTAAAACTGTTTGAAGACATTTAAGATTTCCATTGTTTATAAAATTTGACTGAAAACTCTCATGAAATCAAATTATATTTTCTCTGTTAAAAATTTCCATAACATTCGAAGAATAAATTTGATAGATTTTTTCAAGATTAATTATTTTTTTAAACAATTTGTACAAATAATGTCGTCTTTTTTAACTACTGCTACAAACAGCCTAAATTCCTTTTGTTTCGGATTATTTTAACTTTCCAGTCTTTCCACTCTCAAAATCCCCCCCATCATCGGTCAATCTTTTAACAATATTGTCTCCTTCTCTCTTTAATTTTTTCTTAGATTTCTTAATCATTTGCAAAAAGAGGTTTTTAATCTTTAAATGTTTAAGTTTAAAATTAAAAGATATGAGACAATTGTGGTTTTATTATGTTTAGTAAAACAGTGAAAAGAAGTCAATGCACTTGTATGTAATCGTTCAAGTTACAAATATTTCACTTCAAGTTAAAGTAAATTACATTCAGGATTGAAATCTTATGTTTTTATTTATAACTTCTCTCTTTAAAGAGCTATTGAGAAGTACAAAAATGTTTTGAATTTGAATAAATTAGATTTTTCTCATAGTTGTGCGTTAAATCACAACTAGAGAAGGTACCAGTTCATAAAGACGTCTCAGTGATATCGCATTCTCTGTCTAGTTTACAGTGATTTAAAGAAAACAAATATTGTAAAGAAACATACTTTACGATTGAAAAATGTGGTAATTTCCTAAAAAACGATTTTATACTAGGACAGACCCGAAAATGAATGTTAAAAACAAAAGGGCGATCTCTACACATTGAAAAAGTTCGCAGAGGCCAATTTATCAAAAAGATTAGATAAATGGCTATTTCTTAGAAAAATTTAAAATCTTTAAAATGTTTTTTTGGTTAAATATCTGAAATTTCCCAAAATCAAATATTGAAGTTCATCAAAAATGTAAAAAAATTAAACAAAGACACAATTAACCACAATTTCTTAATCAACCTAGTTTGTAAGATTATTATTTTCAACAGGATTAATTGTTTGCATTTTGTAAATGACTGAATTCAATGAAAATAATAATATTGCGGTTAAGGTTAAATTCAATATTGACAGTTTATTGAAATAGATTTCAACACCTCGACATAAACCTCTAAAAACTTAAATATTTTTACTTTTGATAAAATCTTTTTTTCAATGAAAAACTTAATGTTAAAATTTAAGTGTTGTTGCTAATATTGTGATTGTAGGTGTAATATAAAGAGAGACCCTGTATGAATTATTAGAATTAAACACTTTTAAAGCTAAAAAACGACAATATCTTCCACATTATCGATCGGATAAAGGTTTCAAGGTATACATGTAAGGTAACTTGAAATTACGCTTTCAGTCCTTTTAAATTTAAAATTTCCTAAACTGGGCTTGATTGAATCTAAAGCTTATTCTAAAATTAACTAAACCATACTTAATCAGAAAAAAACTTAATTAAAGGATGAATTTTCAGAAATGACGCAACCTTTTAGATTTAATTCGGTTTAAATGTGAAGAGCTTAATTTCTCTTTTTTTGAAAAATTAATACATTATATGTAAAAAATATTGAAAAATATATACCTTAGATGTATTTTATACTTTCCTCTCAAATATAAAATCCTTATATATTTGGAACCCAATGTTCAAACTGTTGGAAAAATAATCAAATAACTAGGTTGCAAAAATGAAGAGAATAGAAAATTTAGTTTGTGGCTAAAACTCAAATCCTTAAAAGTGTTTTCCCCAAGAATACTAATATTTGTATTTTTTTATCAAATAAATGTAAAAAATTGGTAATAACACTTCAAGCAAATTGTACCGGGTGAGTAAAAGAAGGATGAGTAGCGAGATCTAGCCGTTAATAAAGCTGTTTTTTTTGGTAATCTCATTTCTGACAAAAACGTTTTGAATTTTTCGGAGAAAATGTGCGAAATTAAATTCAGAAAGTCCGCCATTTTATTTTTGAAAAAAAAAAACATTTTTAAGACTTTTATTCATACAAAATTCATATAAAATTGTGTATTTTCAAAATATGTTGATTGCGGATTTTATGTATTTATGTATTTATATTAAGAAATATTATATTCCCGCACTTTTGTTTTTCTACTAATCTAATTTTGAGCATTTAATAGTTTGCGAGTTATTTTTAAAGGGTCTATCAGATTGCCTATAAAAAATTCAAAACTTTCACACATAATTGTCAAAAATGTTTATCATATGCAATATCTCGCTATTCACCTTTTTTTACTCACCCTGAATAGATATAGTTTCTCTGAGATCTAAGACTGGATAAAGGATCCAGGATTGAGTCATATATCTGTAAAACATGAATGATTTATTTATGTTTAATCAGGCCTCACAGTCTCAATGTTTTCCTTTCTGCCTCTTCTTTTACAATCCAGAATTTCCTGAAAGGAACTGAGTTCTAGCTACAAACTATGATTTTTTTGTCATAGAACTTTATTAAAACTGTTAGTTCTGTTGGATCAAATAATAAATTAGTTTAAAATATCACCAGGTTCTAAAGATATAAGGGTTAGAAAAATTGAGTTTGTGGCAAAATCTCAGTTTCACCTGAAAAGTAAAATTAAAGAAAATATATTTTACTGCCTTTTGACCTATAAATCCTGAAACGGGTTTCGTCGACAAATTTTGTCTACAAAACATTCAGAACACAGGGAACCTTTGGTGACATAAAATTCCCTTAACTTCCCTGTAAAGTAATTGTTAACCATAATCATTACTTGGTGCCGTACAGAAACCGATTTTGGGAGAAAAAAGTTGCAGTTATTTGAAACTTTTGCAAAAAATGTCAAAATAAAGATGATCCAAGTTTTTATTTCTTTATTTTTACCGGTCGATCGAATCAGTCCTTGTATAAAATTTTGAAGCCATCCTCCCTGCTCCCACCCCTCATCTCCCCCCTCCTTTCCTTCCTCACCCCTCATCTCCCCCTCCCTTCCCCAACCCCAGTAGCATTACGCTACAGGGTGTTTTTTCGAAAGAAATAATCTAAGATTGATTTATCAATGATTTACGCCATCAGGTTGCTCAGATATAGTGATTAGAAAATCTGTGTTTGTTGCAAGGACTCAACTTCTTTAATAACATACTTAATTACTTATAAAGTACTTCCCCTTTAAATAATTTTTTAACTATTGTTTAACTATTGAAAGTCGGCCTTTTAAAATAATTTTCAAATGTTGGCCGATTTTTCATTTCTAATTGGCGCATTTTCAAAAAGAAACTAATTCCAACTACTTTCCAGGTTTTTTTTTAAATTTTTATGTTCCATAAACCCTCTCTGTGTTCATGCGAGGTCCTACAAAAATTTGGGCCGATCGGTTCAGCCGTTTTAAAGTTTATTGGTTACAAACAGACTAACAAACAGACAGACACCCAGTCCAAAAATATATATAGAAGTATAAATAGAGATGCATATTTTTTTCAGAGTGCAGTGTAACCTACATGATGAAACTCCTATCCCTCAGAGGAAATCTGGGGGTTTACTTCTCTAAGTAAATGCGAAACAACTAAAAACTCTCCATGAGCTGTGTGTCTACTTCAGTGTCTTTCTAAGTATGAAAGACTGCCTGAGATAGAGTCAAATAATTCTTAAAAATCTTGATAATCGATTATACAAACCTATACACGGACGGATGAAGGAGGAGCGGATACATGTTATCTCCAGAATATCAAGGATATCTAGATATATCTTAAACTTATCCTACGTTTTAACCCAGCGGAAGGGGATTTTTAAGTTTAAGAAAGACAAATCCATGATAAAAAAAACCAAAATTTTAATATTAAATTGATGGAGCCACGTTATCATCATTCCTTTAGATCTATTATTTTCGAAGCTTAATGATATTGTTATTGTAGCTCAGGAAATATTGAAGCTTAGAAAATATTGAAGCTTGGAAAATACTTAAGCTTAGAAAATATTGGAGCATATAAAGTATTGAAGCTTAGAAAATATTGGAGCCCAAAAGATATTGGAGCCTAATGGATATTTGAGCTAAGAGTATATTGGAAATCAAAAGAAATTGATGAAAAAGAAGAAACCGTACAGAAAGTGGAGGAAAAGAAATTGATGAAAAAGGAGAAACCGTATAGAAAGTTGAGGAAAAGAAATTGATGAAAAAGAAGAAACCGTACAGAAAGTGGAGGAAAAGAAATTGATGAAAAAGGAGAAACCGTATAGAAAGTGAATGATAAGAAATTGATGAAAAAGGAGAAACCGTATAGAAAGTATAGAAAGAAAAGAGAAATCAAGTTTTAACAACAAAACAAGATATATGAACACGAACTCCGAAACCCGTGAGAAATAATGTAAAAGAAGGAGAAACTAAGAGAAGAAAAGCTGTAGAGTAGAAAAATAAGAGGACTGTTGAGGAATTTAGCTGGGTCCAACCAACTTCATAATTTCCAAAATGCCCAGGTAAAAAAATATTTCAGATTTCAGTATTTTTCAACTTTAACGTTTATTTTGATTATCTCATGAACGATTTAGGACAGCCCTTCTTGAAACAGAGAATACAATTTTTATTGATTTTGTTTCCTATCTGTAAAATGGGGACAACATTTTATTAATAGTAAAAATTAGTTGAACTGCATAGACTAAGTTGAATCACTTCCCTTCAACTTAAACCGGTGATGGAGGAGGGGGGGGGGACCCAAAAATCGTTCTCTAGGAAATTACCAATCAATTTCTCACATTTGGAAGACATTATCCTTTGTGGATATTTTATAGTCTGTACGTAGAAAGATATTTGTTCACTCTAGAGAGATAAATAAAAAGCCTCCTAGATTAATTATATTTACCTCCCGCTTTATCAACTGTATACCCCCACCTCAGGGTAATTTGACATTGATGAACTAGCTACACCCTATATAAGAATAAACTATATACAGGGTGTACCACAAAACATGACAGTTTAGAATGTCTTCTTTCATAATTTGTTTGATGCCAGACTGAATAATCAAACATGTTATATGTCAGTCACACTATAGTAAAATTGATTTTAAAGTCAAATATATTTTAGTAAAAATTTTTCTTAACAAAATAAGTCTTTAATATCTAATACAGTATATGGAAGATTACATTCAAAACTATTCACCAACTATTCATGTTTCGAATAACACCCTGTATGTAGTATATCTTGATTATCCAGCATAGTAACAGAAAAATATTTTATACCCCCCCTTCTCCCAGCATTTTATTTCTCTTCTCCGCCAGGTGGCATAAGGACCCCCCCAAAGGATCCCCCACNCCCACCTTGTAGATTTAAATGGCCTGTATATGCATGTAGCAAAATCATAGAGGGGGTCAATTATAGATACATCATAAAATTGATTGGTAGGAGGACAATCATAGATTCATCATAATATTGATTGGTAGGAGGTCAATCATAGATACATCATAAAATTGATTGTTAGGAGGTCAATAATAGATACATTATAATATTGATTGGTAGGAGGTCAATCATAGATACATTGTAATATTTATTGATAGGAGGTCAATCATAGATACATCGTAATATTGATTGGTAGGAGGTCAATCATAGATACATCATAATATTGATTGGTAGGAGGTCAATCATAGATGTATCATAATATTGATTGATAGGTGGTCAATCATAGATACATCATAATATTGATTGTTTGGAGGACAATCATAGATACATCTTAATATTGATTGGTAGGAGGTCAATCATAGATACATCATAATATTGATTGGTATAGGTGGTCAATCATAGATACATCATAATATTGATAGGTAGGAGGTCAATCATAGATACATCATAATATTGATAGGTAGGAGGACAATCATAGATACATCATAATATTGATAGGTAGGAGGACAATCATAGATACATCATAATATTGATTGGATGGAGGTCAATCATAGATACATCATACAATTGATTGGTAGGAGGATAATAGTAGACAAATTATATAATTGATTGGTAGGAGGTCAATCATAGATACATCATAATATTGATAGGTAGGAGGACAATCATAGATACATCATACTATTGATTGTTAGGAGATCAATCATAGATACATCATACAATTGATTGGTAGGAGGATAATAGTAGACAAATTATATAATTGATTGATAGGAGGTCAATCATAGATACATCATAATATTGATTTGTAAGAGGACAATCATATATACATCATAATATTGATTGGAAGGAGGACAAATATAAAATGATAGAAATGAATTTAGAAATATTTTCCCCACAACATTAACAATAAATGTTTACTTAATATCCCCTTGTTCACACTCTAATGAGTCATTTTAATCTCTGCAGATATGTTCGCACTATATTGGATTGCGAATTATATGTTTGGGAGCTAAAAGATGTATCCAAAGATTTATATAAACAATGATATTTTAAAAAAATGGTTTATATAAAGATATTGTAAAAACTTAATACTTTCTCTTTGAAAATGCTGATTTGTAATGAAATCGAAGAATGCATTTGTTGCAAAGATTGAACGCGGGACAAAACTGGGTGAATTTAAAATGAACAATTTTCCTTTCTATTTTACTCGATGTTCAACGTAAGAGGAAAGATGACATACACAATGTATTAATGTTATCAGATTACAGTATTCATGCTTTTTCTAATCTTTGTTTAGTCTCTCTATAGTCTCTTGGACCCTTGATGAACCAGGAGATTAATAAACTATTTACAGAGAGTAGAGTGGGTGTAGGGCCCACAGAGCGGAAGGGAGAGATAAGACAAGTGAAAAGAGAAGAAGGGAGGAGAGTGGAAAAAGAAGGAAAATAATGTAGCATAAGAAAGTTGAAAAGAAAGGGAAACGTTAAAATGAGAAGGAAAAAATTGCCAAGATAAAAATCAAAAAGAAAATAATGAAGAAATCATGGTCAAGTGTCTTTGTCTGTATCACGTGACCAGCACACTGTACTCTTATTGGTGGGAGTTCTTTTGACGTAATACGGACTTGTAAATAATATTATCAATTACATCTATTAAAAATAAAAATAAAAATTATAAAATAATAATTGAAGAAAACCTAAGTTACAATTAGGTTNTAAACTTACTATTTCTATAAAAAAAAATAATATATTTATGAATTTTCGTTTAAATTTGACATAGTTTTATATCAATTTCTCGAGATAGGAACATCAGATATAACTATTATGGGTCCCGATCAAAAGCTAAAGTGATTAGCTTTCAGCCTATACCCCTTTTTAGTTTTCCTTTACATTCCCTTTAAAGACAAGATATTAAGTTTTCAAATGCCTAGAACTTACAAGACTTATCAGCTACTTTCTTAGGATGATGTTTTTAAACTTTAGTAATTTAGATTTTAGATTTCATTTTCCGTTTAATTTAATTTCATTTACGATAAAAATGTTACTGACTCTCGTAAATGCAGTTAAATAAGGAAATTTTTGTTAACAAATATAGTTTTTGTCATATACTGTGAATTCAGTTGGTTCGAGTTTTTTGCCTATTTCTTCTTTTCGGTCAAAATTTGCCATTTTATAAGAAAAGCATACGTTTTAATATTGCCAAATTTAGACGCTGACAGAAAATAAAGGCAAAAAAGACCCCAAAATGATCGTGATGAATCGATCGTTTTTGCATCGTTGTTCCATTTTTCAAGGATTTAAATATATTGCTAAGTTTAATAAGAGCAAACTTTAACAACTAAGACAGTTTTGAAATTTTTATTAAATATTTTAAAAAACGAATCAAACGATTACAACAGTGTTTACCACAAAAAATAAGATTTTACTAGGTTTGTAGAATGTAGAGCTGTACACTCCTTTCTTTTTTAGGCAAATAATTTGAACTACAATTTTATAACTTTTTTGTTTCTAAATTTGCGGGGAAAGTCTCATTCTTAAAGGGTAACTCTATTTCTTAGGGCGGGTTGCAAACCTGGAAAGTGGATTTTTTAAACCCGTGCACACTTGCACAGTTATAGACGCGTCGGTCCGGAGGGAGCAGCGCGCGTGTTAGGTTTAACCCAAATAATGCTTTCTCTCCGGGTTCTATTCAAACTAATCAGTTGCTCTCCGTACCTTTGAGACGGTACGGAGCAGGTTTGGAGGAGAAGGTTGAGGGATAAATTCATCCTCTCTCCGAACTTCTCTTTTCTCTCTTTACTCGAGATGGGACAGTGACAAAGAGAGGATGAACTCGTCCTTCCTTTACTCCAGGTTAGAACTAAACACAAAGTTAGGAAATAGGAATAAAAAACTTATGTTCTAAAATTGTTTTCTTTATTTTTGTTTGAAAAAGAATAACATTCTTGATATTTTCAACCACTCTAGTAAAACAAGAAGCCAAAATAAGTCCAAATCAAAATGATCCGTGAAAATGCGTTGACAAATTCAATTGTGCAAATACTGAAAATTCGTACCTAGGAAATGTGTGCTAATTACTGCGCACACTATGAAAATATTGCGATTTCATAAAAATACATTTTTAAATATAAACCCATATTGGACAGGAACCAAATTTTTGTTTTGACATAAAAGTTTTAAACAAGTTGCTTCTATATTGCACATGGTTTGCTTAATTAAGAAAGAACTGTGTGTAAGAAAAAATTTGGTAAAAACAGTATACGACAAATAGATTCTAGAACAATAGATGGCAACGTAGAATTTGTACGCTCTCAGTACAGCTGTATTCTTACGACACAAGTGTCAACACAGTTTGTGTGTCCGACAAAATTATTAAAAATAGTGATAACTTTAGAATAAAGTACTTATTTTACAGTAAAATAAGTGCAATTTTATGTGTTCTTTATTTTCTGTTTATTCACTTTTTAATTTAATCTTGGAAAACATGTCAACTAATGTGAGAAAATTTCGTTTTTCTTATTATATTTGACACTTGTGACGTCGTGTATAATTGGTCTACTTCTCTGTTGCCACTTATTGTACTTGATAATCTATTTGGTATACGACTTAGTTGATAGTAATTGATCGATTAGATCAAGTTTCAGTTGCGTCAGTTGTGTTTACATTATCGCCCAGAGACAGTACACTGCAGTGAAAACGATGCGTACACCTCTGAAATAACTTTCCTTACATTAGAACAATAAATCCCTCAACATACGTATAGTGATCATTTAATGGCACAAACATAGGAGAATACGTTAATCTAAAAAAACTTGCTCGTAAGACTGAAATTCTTTTTTGTTTTAATCATACTCCTTGTTTTGGTTTTGAATTTCTAATATGTAACAGAATAAATTTTGTTTAAGTCATTTAATGTCATACTTAATTTGCGTAAAACTAAAATCAGAGGAGCTCTGAGATTACAAAGAGAATTTCGTCTAAAATTCTTTTAAAAATAAAGAAAAATGTTTTATGTGATTCTAAAAACACAAATGATAAATCTATCAAAATATATTCATCATATTTTTATTGTTTTTTTTTCCCCTTAACCCGTAACTAGCTGGATTCTTTGTTTATTTGGCTCTACTACTGATTAATATTAAACATACGCTAAATTTAACGCAAATAATTTTACTAATTTGGGTCCGTCCTAGTGATCCGATTTTTAGGGGGGAAGTCCAAAAATCGTTCTCTAGGAATATACCAGTAATTTCAATTTTTATTCAATAGACTGTAGTTCAGAAAAATTGAAGAAAATAATATGAAACTCGATATTTAGATAAGAATAAATACAGCAGACATTCATTCCGACGCACTACGCAATTCACATTATACAGGGTGTCCTAAAAAACATGGGAATTCAGTAACGAATTGGATATCGTCTTTGTTATGAATTAGCATTGTAATACCTAATTTTAAAAGCCACAATATTATAATGTCTGCTAGAGTGTATTTTATGAAAAGGGTAAAAGACTGTAAAGATGTGTTTATAATGTCTCCGCAAGATGAACAGTGATGACGGACAAGTTTACTCTCTGTTTGTATACTGCACTTTTCTTGTTTTATAAGTACAACTGTATGCAGTCAAAACATAAACAAACAAAATGTGAACATAGCAGACGAAACTCTTTCAGATTACAGCTTTCTTAGTATCACTATTCTAAATCAAAGAATTATTTATAAAGACGATATTCGTCACTGAATTCCCAGGTTTATTGGGACACCCATGTAGACGCAGGGATAAATTGGTTTTGTCAACCTTTGTGATTATTAATTGGAATCCTGATGACAGACAGACAGACGACCGTTCTTGTTCTTTGTTTACCTTGTTGTCGACCTTTGCGTCCTTTTTGTCGTCCTTTGTGTCCTTCTGTCGTCCTTTATGTCGTTTGTGGAGTTGTCGTCCTTTATCTTTTTTTTGTCTCTTATGGCATTTTTTCGTCCTTTTTGGAGGGTTGTCTTTCTTTTCGCCATTTGCCTTGAGTTTTGGTAAGCTAGTGTTTTCTCTGAAAGGGGGTTTAGATTGAGAAAAAACAGAGTGGTGAACAAATTAAGTCGGATTTATTTTCGAAAAAATGCAAAAATTTTCGTTCGTATTTTGCAAATTTTTGTTCGAAAATGTAAGCAAAAAAAATGCGTAAACGATGCGAAATTTCGAGAAAAAATTGTTTTCGCGAAACCATAAATGTTACAGCTGCAACAATTACTTGCGCAAAAAAAATCGTGGAATTCTCTGCTCTAAGGACTTAGTATTGGAAGATAATTAATAATAATTAATAATTAAAATAATTAATAATTTCTCTTCCGTATTTTTACAATCATTTCCCCATTGAAAACCTTAAAATCAGTAAGACACTTGATTAAATTAGGTCGTTCTGTTGGACGACTTTATAGATACAGCTACCAACGGACGGTCAATTCAGTACAAATGAGCTAGTGATGTATCTACTATATCGAGGATCGGAGAGATGGTAACCTTCCTGGTGGGTCCCCCTGGGGACTGGGGTATACTTGGAGAGGATGGACGGACATATTTCTCAAATATCTGTTATGTTTAGGATCGGAGAGATGGTAACCTTCTTGGTTGGTCCCCCGGGGTACTCGGAGAGAATGGACGCAAATATTTCTAAACTTTGTAAAGTTTCACCAGTCTTTAATGCAATGCTTCGGGTTAGTTACAGAACTTGTTATTATTATTATTATTATTATCATCATCTGAACGGCTGGACCGAATGGGCTGACATTTTTAAGGAAATCCAGGGGTATATTCCACGGGCAACG